CGGTGTCAGTGAATGAGTCATGACACACTCATAACGACGGTCACTGGTCGCCATCTACTGGCTGAACGATGTACAGTACAGAAGAGCGGGAAATATACTTTAAGTCCCTGTAAAGTCAAAAATAAGTATGTGTTTTGAGTTTGTCACACCACAGAAAAATGTGTTATTAGTCACCCAGCCAAATTTGAATGATAAAAAACGCCAGCAAGTACATAAAATAAGCTATCAAAATCTTGAAAAAATGAGCAGTATTCTCTGCTCTCAAACGCTGGGGGCGTGTCCGCTGGCTGCGCTGAAACCACGCCCACTCACGGGAAAGCTGCCGACTCGCCACACTGAATCATAGACTGAACTCTACAGCCGGAATGGATGCTCGCACGGTGGGCACGCACTGCCGATGATGGCACCAGTTGTCGGCGCGACGGGAGGATGATGGCCGAGACGGGAGTCGGTTCGGCCCCATTCACCAGTAACAGCGGATTATCAGTGAATCCCAGTTGTCTCTGACGAAAGTTTATAAAACTATCCAGTGTAAAATGATCACTTACAGAGGCGGGTGTTGGCGGTGATCCTTCCTCAGCTCTCCATCAAGGTTGGCTCTTCACAAAATGAATCCACTTCTTGATGTAATCGTTTTTCGGAAATTTAAAAAAGGACACCGATCTGTTTTGTACGTGATCCGGTGATCGCATTCAGGTAGTACGCATTTCCGTGACGATGGCATAGCTAGCTAGCACGCCAAACTGATATGAAGTGAATGTGCTCTATATTGTTAGGGGAGCGGCCAGCCTCAGTGGCCTCAGTGCGTCATCAAGTAGGGGCGTGTCCAGGAGCTCAGGGGCTCCAGTGCGTCATCGAGCCCTGTTTTAGCCCCGCCCAGAAAATCCGGAAAATAGCAATGGTGAAAAACTGTTTAACGGTCTAACTCCACAATTCAGTAATTCACAGTTCACAGTCTTTGTAATATGTTTTAGCAATACATTTCTAACATTTATAATGTGTTTAGAATTTTTTTTTGAAATTGCCTTTACAGGGACTTTAATTGAATATTGGTGCAAAAGATTCTTGACAAAATTCGGAATTATTATATTATATTATATTATATTATATTATATTATATTATATTATATTATATTATCAACCCTCTAGGGCAATGGAACAAAATTTCCAATAAATATATTTATTTCTGTCAACAATTATTAGCTTTTTTAATTGATTAGTTTTATACTTATAATTCCTGTTTTTATGATGTTAGATAAAGTTATATCAAAATAATTAAAGCATACTATCAAACAAAAAAACAATTTTAATTAAAATATTATACTATGACACACACACTTATATGACATCATTATCTGCATCTCATCAGTGTCCACGTCACTATTCTTTATTAGATCGTGTCTTATTAATAATGAGGCAGTGTTTGTCAGAAAGCTGTCAGACACACACACACACACACACACACACACACACACACACACACACACACACACACCAGGCACGGCGCCAGGATTCCAGGTTTGGATGGGCCAGACCAATTGTGGGTGGGCCTTAAATTAAAAACGTTATCCAATCACTGTTTAACCTAATAAAAATTACTGACTAATATATCTGTACGTAGGCTAGATTTTAATAGCTTGGTGCTCTTTAAATATTTTGTTGCATTGTTACAAAGTTTCGGTGCATATGGAGTCAAGACGGACCTATCCGCGATCGCTCTCCTTGGTCCTGACCAAAGAAGAGTGCTTTGGAATCTCCATTACGCATCACACCTGGGCTGCGTTTCCCGATAGAAGAAAAAGCGGTGTTCTTTATAAAAGAAGCACTTCAGAAATAGTTGGAATTGCATTTATTAGGACTCATGGTATAGGCAGAGGCGCTGGCGCCCTCCTAGCAACGGCGCTGGTCGCGCTAGCAGCGATAGTCGTAGCGGGTGGCAGAGACGAAGATGTGCTAGGTGATGTGGATCTCAGCTTTCCTTCATCTCCTGGTTGCAGCGATGACTCAGAGACTGTACGTGCGCGTTTAAGGTACCTAAACAACGACTGTTGCAACATTGTCCTTTACTGGAAATTATTTTCACACTTTCACAAGCTAATGATAAGCGCTGACGCTGCAATATTTCTGGAGACATGGAGTGCATGGGTAAACATTATTTTGACCACTTGAGTTTTGTTTTGTAGAAAGACATTTTTTAAAAAAGATTTTCGTTTCGTATAAATTGTATCTTAATTTTGATCAAAGTTTTATCAACCAATAATAAATAAGAAGCAATATATAGCAGACAATGTAATAAGGCGCCGGCACGATCACTTGCATTGCACGACAACTGGAGCATGTTTCCGCCACAGAGTAAAAAATAAAAAATGTAATTGCGATTTTTTAATCTCACAATTCTGACTTTTTATCTCAGAATTAGGCTACATGATAAAGTGGCAATTGCAGGTTAGCTATAAAGTCAGAATTGCGTGATATAGGCCTAAAGTCGCAACTGTATGTTATTAAGTCAAAATTGCTTGATATAAAGTGCGAGAAATATAGCTTGAAATTCTGACTTTTTTTCACAGAATTGCATGTTTATATCTCGCCATTCTGACTTTATAATACGCAATTGAGAGATATAAAGGCAGAATTGCATGATATAAAGTCGCAATTGCGTGTTACAAAGTCAGAATTGAATTGTGAGATATAAACTATTCTCGGGTAAAAAAAAAAGAAAAAGAAAAAGAAAAAAGCAATTGCGACTTTATTTCACGCAATTCTGACTTTATAACACGCAATCGCGGCTTTATTTCACGTAATTCTGAGTAATAAAGTCAGAATTGTGAGATGTAAACTCGCAATTGTGAGATAAAAAGTCGCAATTATCTTTTAAAATGTTTTATTCTATGGCGGAAACAAGCTTCCATAGTATAGGCTAGTATAGCCTATAGCCTGTCCTATTTAAGTAGCCTAATTAAATTAATATAAAGGGGCGATTTGCCCACTAATGGCTTAAATGAACAACTAGGGGAAAAAAATAGTCGGAGGCCTTATTCCACATATCTTGGAAGTTCGAGCCAGGAGGCCATTCTGGGTTGAGCGCGCGACCCTGCGGAATGAGTGAGCAGAGCGGAATATTCAGAAATGCGCTCTCTGCTCACATGCTCTGATCGGAACAAACCCGAACACTGTCTGCTGAACTTGTGCAGAAACATCAAAATAGACATAACCAGCTTTTTAAAATTGTTTTTAAAACTAAACATTTAGACTATTTTAGCACAAATTATGTGCTTATTGGCGATTTTTTTAATAATTATTGACAAAACATTTTTGAAGAAAAGTTTTGGGTGGGCCTGTTGAAAAGTGGGTGGGCCTAGGCCCGTCAGGCCCACCCATAACGCCGTGCCTGACACACACACACACACACACACACACACACACACACACACACTTAAACATTGATGCCAAATATAAGTGATAAAATGCTGCATATTAAGCTACATTATCATAACCAGAAAGTGTGGTATGATTATGGTTAAGGAACACGGAACAGAATTCTCTATATCCCGCAAACACGAGCCTGATCTCTGATCTACAGTCAGTCACAGCACCAGTGTTTTCCATTAACTTATACAGACTGTATATGTAATATATTATAGTTTAATATTTAAAGTGCCCTGCTGAGTGTTTCTGCAGATGAAGCTGGAGATGGTGGATGTCTAGCACCAGCTAGTGGAACATTGTAGACATTACATGAGGGCCATGAAATAAACACACACACACCACACACCTGTCATCTGCCCTCACACCACGGCTCTTACAAACACACACACACACACACACACACACACACACACACACACACACACACACACACACACACACACACACACACACACACACAGATGAGCTCTTCATTCACTCGCTGCCTCTGAATCACAGAAGAAACCCCTTTCTAATCCTCCATGTACAGTTCGGTAACGGTTCGTGTGTTTTGGTAATGCACTCATTTTACTCCAGTTCCATATGGATCTTCCTCAGCAAACTAGTATGCGAAACCAGTAGCTAATAATCTGGCAATTACGTCACGTTTGGGCGGAGCCTACATTATGACGACAGGTTGAGTTCAGACTGGGGGACGTAACTTTATTGCATTTTTTAAGAAAAAATATTTTTCACAAGTAACACAAATAAATACTTACAATACTGCCACAAATTATAGACACTGTGCACATTTTGTTAAATATTTTCTCAGTAGAAATTGAAAGAAGTGCCACAAAATGCTTAGTAGGCCTAACACATTATTTGATGATAAAAATAAATAAATTAAAAGCAATAATTATTATTTATTATAATAGACATAGACATACCAGTATTATTTCATTTTGGTGAACCACCACTTCAAAACAAACAAACAAAATAAAAGTCCGGAGGACTGAAATATTCCCAAATCCCAGGAATGACCCATTTAGCAATGCCAAATATTCTTGATAAAAGAAAATGATTATATAGGCCTAATTAGAAGTTATTATATGACTATCAAACCTCACTGTGTTAATGAACTTGGAACAAAATTTCCTATGAAATTGTTTTTTTCTTTCTATACAACAAACACGTTCCGCTAACGTTCCCATGGTTCCTATTCGGTTTTCTGAGAACCAAATGAGAGGGTGGGCAGAGAGAGAAGAGAGACATTTGTATTATTTTTAAAGTCCCCCTGTGGTGAAAATGAAGCTTTTAATGTTGTTTATGTGTCTATGTGGTGTTTTTAATACGCTTTAAGACAAACCATGTGTAAATTCATAAGTCGACAGCAATGCTGAGTAGTATTTTCTGCTTATGAACGTAGTAGTAGAGCTAACAAACTCAACAAATGCCACTAAAAGTCATTTTACAAATGTTGTGCTTTTGTATTTTTTTGTTGTTGTGTATTTTTAATGTCCAGACAGTAAACCCAAAACAAACAGTTTCAGGTTCTCATTTGTATCCTGTGCGTTCGCTCGCTCGCGGTGCATGCTGGGACTGCGGGTCCTCCACGCGCGCCTCCATCTTTAAACCCCAGAGGAGAAGAAACAGCTTCCGCTCAGTCGTACACACACAAGATCCTGCGTTCACACACACATTTATGACACTTTGAGCTCCAGATCTGCGTTTTAAATCGACGGATTGTACTAGGAAAGACCTGAGGAACTTATTCAGAGCGCGTTCGGTGATTGAACAGCTTTATTTCTGCACTGACATCCTCAAAAACACGGCGGAGTGATCGCAGCTGCGCGTCTCTTCTTCTTCTTTTGTCCGTCTCTCTCTCGGTTTCTCGGCTCCTGATGCCCGGAGATGAGTAGAGGAACATGTCGGTTTCGGGACTGAAGGCCGAGCTGAAGTTTCTGGAGTCCATTTTCGACCCGAATCACGAGCGCTTCAGGATTCTGGACTGGAAGCCGGACGAGTTGAGCTGCCAGTTCAACGTGACCGGAGAGAAGCTGCTCATCATCCACTGCAACATCACGGTAAGACCGACACCGAACACACACACTCGTCATCACAACACACGGTGGGTTCGGGCGCGCGCCGTCGAACCCGCGGCTTCGATAATAACCGAACTCAAGCGCGTTCGCGTCGGTAAACATCAGTGTTCAGCTCCGTGTGTTCATACTAGCTTCACCTCATCTTTATTGTCCTAAAGTTAATCAATCAGGAGTCATTATTGTGAAGTGCGCTCTTCTGAGACCTTTACTGACCCAGTTCTGGTGTCTCGTTTCATGGGTTTTCTTAATTTCCGGATGCCATTTTCTGTGGCGACTCTGACGTCATCAATCCACTCATATGATCATGATCAAATATCATAACACTTAAAAGGCAGCTATTTATTTTCATGGTGAACGACCCAGTTTATTCTGTGAAAACTGACACTATGCATGTGTCAAATATTATTTGGTAAATATTTGGTCTCTGAAAATAATGATGTAAAAAAATAAATCATACTCATTATAGTAGTGAACTGTTAGATGTTATTTAAATATTTTTTTATTTTTAAAAATTATTTTTACTTTATAAATACTGTGAAAACGAATATATTAAATGCGTAAAATATTACGGTATTTGGAAAATATTTGGTCTATTAAAATAATAATGTAACTTTTTAACTCATTATAGTACTTATTTAAATATTTTTTATTATTTATACTGAAAACGAAAATTAGAAATGCATACAATAGCCTATTATTTGGAAAAATATTTGGTCTCTGTTAAAAAAATAATAATGAAACATATTTTCTACTTATTTTAGTACTGTACTGTTAGATGTAATTTATGTCTTTTTTATTTATTTTAATATTTTTATTGTACTATTTATACTGTGAAAACGAATATATTAAATGCGTAAAATATTATTTGGAAAATATTTGGTCTATTAAAAACAATAATGTGAAAATTTTTTGTACTCAGTACTTATTTTATTTTTTTTATACTGAAAAAGAAAATTAAAAATGCATAAAATATTATTTGGAAAAATATTTGGTGTCTGTTATTATAATAATAATAATAATAATAGGTTAACAATAATGAAACGCATTTACTAATTATAGTACTGTCTTTTTTATTTATTTTAATATTTTTATTTTATTATTTATACTGTATCTTAAAATAATTATGTAATTTTTTTTCTAATCATTATAGTACTTATTTAAATATTTGTAATTTATTTTAACATTATCTTTGTGTTTTATTATTTATACTGAAAACAAATATTAGAAATGCATAAAATAATATTTGGAAAGTATTTGGTCTCTAATCTCTATTAAAAATAATGTAACATTTTTCTACTCATAGTACTTATTTAAATATTTTTTTATTTGTTTTAATATTTCATCTTTTATGTTTAATACTGTGAAAATGAATATATTTAATGTTTAAAATATTATTTGGAAAATAATTAGTTTTTCTTAAAATAATAATGTAAGGTTTTCTACTCATTATAGTACTTATTTAATATATCTTTTATTTATTTTATTTATATATTTATTTTATAAAAATAATAATATAACATTTTTTTATGTAAAATATTTTTATTTGACATTTTTTCTACTTATTATAGTAGTATTTGAACCCTTTACTAAATCTTTTTTATTTATTTTAATACTTTTATTTGTATTTATCTGGTGAAAAATGGATATTATAAATGCGTAAAATATTATTTGGAGAATATTAAGTGTTTAATTAACAAATAAGTTTTAATTAACATTATTTATAACTTTTACTCACTATAGTACTATTTATTATTTCTATTTCTCTTGACTTGCGTGTTTTAAACAAAATGTAGTTTCTTCATAGCAACACACTTTAATAACAAACATTATACAATGCTTAAAGATGCAAAGTGTTTGTTTGTGTGTGTTTTTTTTATTATGTGTAGAGCCACTGGAAATAATATATGGGACACATAAGTGTCGACTATAAACGAGATCCGTTAATGTACAAATGAAGACGAGCCTTGAAACTGAGGCTCATATATTTACTTTTATTTCAAAGTGCATGAATTACTAATGGATATTGTCAGCCAAAAAGTGTTTGCATAAAAGTATAACAATAAGGTCCTCTTTGTGAACATAAACTAACATGAACTAACAATGAGCAGTATATTTTTTATAGCATTTATTACTGTTAGTTAATAAAACTGTTCATGTTGTTTCGCAGTGCTAATGCTAATGTTAACATTTACAACTTTTGAGCTTAGAAATGTATTAGTAAATGTTTAGACTGAGATGAATAAATGCTGTGGAAGTATTCTTCATTGTTAGTTCATGTTAACTAATGAAACCTTATTGAGTAGCGCTTATTTTACAGTCCTGTTTCGCACATACTTGACAATTATAGTAATAACTGGGTAATAACAAAGTCCTAGGCTTTTATATATCAGGGTTTATGATGCAGAGGACCGGGGATCCAGCGGGACATCATGTTATGGGTTTAGCTAGTTTTAATTCTATTTTAATTCCAATTCAATTATGAATTAAAGCGCTCGTAAACATACTCTATCACTTGAAATAACCCATTAAAAATAAGTATTATGCAGCCATTTCCCCTTATATAGAGCCTTTTTAGCATAAAGTGTTCTTTAAAATGAGTCGGACTTCTACAGAACCGTTTCTTCTAAGCTTGAATGTCCAGAACTCTTTTACATAAGTTAAGTCATGTAAATAACCCCAGCACTACATCAGGCATTGACCCGATCACGAGAGATCCCACGCTTCCACTGGTTCTGCTCTTCAGATTGACAGGATCAGAGTGCACTCTGGGTAATGTGTGGTGGTGTGTCTTGCAGGAGTCCTACCCCTCGACGTCCCCGATATGGTTTGTGGACTCCGATGACCCGAGTCTGACTCAAGTTCTGGAGCGGCTGGAGGACGTGAGGAAGGGAAACACGCTGGTAAACAATCACAATCTTCTCACTATACTCCTGTCATAAGCCTATTAATAAACCATTGAAGGGGTCCAGCTATGCTCTAGCTCATCTGTGTTTAGTGTGTGATCATGAGAAGCTCCAGTTCTTCTCTATATGAGTGTCAGTGTTTCTGAACTCCTGAAACGCCTCCATTGTAGTCTTGAGTTTCTTCCGGGAACGAACACATCACAATATTCCTCATTATAATAATCCATACGCAGAATAAAGGGGCGGGGCCTGGTTGAGTTAGTTAGTAGTGTGTTAAACTGGCGGTTATGGAAAGGGGCGGGACTTTCCCAAACACACTCGAAGCGCTCGACCAATCACTACACACTGCTCCAGCCGACCAATCAGAGCACAGTGTGCTTTTCAGAAGGAGGGGCTTCATAGAGACAGGAAGTAAACAGGGGTGTGTTTCCCGAAAGCATCGTTAGCCAACTATGGTCGCAAGTTACGTCGTTATCAGCAGTTCAACGAGTCGGTGTGTCCCGAAACCATCGTTACAACGAACACTCGCAAACAGCATCGCAGAGGTGTGTGTGTGAGTGACAGCATCTTAGAGTTGTGTGTGTGAGTGACAGCATCGCAGAGGAGTGTGTGTGAGCGACAGCATCTTAGAGTTGTGTGTGTGAGTGACAGCATCGCAGAGGAGTGTGTGTGAGCGACAGCATCTTAGAGTTGTGTGTGTGAGCGACAGCATCGCAGAGGAGTGTGTGTGAGCGACAGCATCGCAGAGTTGTGTGTGTGAGCGACAGCATCTTAGAGTTGTGTGTGTGAGCGACAGCATCGCAGAGGAGTGTGTGTGAGCGACAGCATCGCAGAGTTGTGTGTGTGAGTGACAGCATCTTAGAGTTGTGTGTGTGAGTGACAGCATCGCAGAGGAGTGTGTGTGAGCGACAGCATCGCAGAGGAGTGTGTGTGAGCGACAGCATCGCAGAGGAGTGTGTGTGAGCGACAGCATCGCAGAGGAGTGTGTGTGAGCGTCAGCATCGCAGAGGAGTGTGTGTGAGCGACAGCATCGCAGAGGAGTGTGTGTGAGCGACAGCATCGCAGAGGAGTGTGTGTGAGCGACAGCATCACAGAGGAGTGTGTGTGAGCGACAGCATCGCAGAGGAGTGTGTGTGAGCGACAGCATCGCAGAGGAGTGTGTGTGAGCGACAGCATCGCAGAGGAGTGTGTGTGAGCGACAGCATCGCAGAGGAGTGTGTGTGAGCGACAGCATCGCAGAGGAGTGTGTGTGAGCGACAGCATCGCAGAGGAGTGTGTGTGAGCGACAGCATCGCAGAGGTGTGTGTGTGAGCGACAGCATCGCAGAGGAGTGTGTGTGAGCGACAGCATCGCAGAGGAGTGTGTGTGAGCGTCAGCATCGCAGAGGAGTGTGTGTGAGCGACAGCATCGCAGAGGAGTGTGTGTGAGCGACAGCATCGCAGAGGAGTGTGTGTGAGCGACAGCATCGCAGAGGAGTGTGTGTGAGCGACAGCATCGCAGAGGAGTGTGTGTGAGCGACAGCATCTTAGAGTTGTGTGTGTGAGCGACAGCATCGCAGAGGAGTGTGTGTGAGCGACAGCATCGCAGAGTTGTGTGTGTGAGCGACAGCATCTTAGAGTTGTGTGTGTGAGCGACAGCATCTTAGAGTTGTGTGTGTGAGCGACAGCATCGCAGAGGAGTGTGTGTGAGCGACAGCATCGCAGAGTTGTGTGTGTGAGCGACAGCATCTTAGAGTTGTGTGTGTGAGTGACAGCATCTTAGAGTTGTGTGTGTGAGTGACAGCATCGCAGCGGAGTGTGTGTGAGCGACAGCATCGCAGAGGAGTGTGTGTGAGCGACAGCATCGCAGAGGTGTGTGTGTGAGCGACAGCATCGCAGAGGTGTGTGTGTGAGCGACAGCATCGCAGAGGAGTGTGTGTGAGCGACAGCATCGCAGAGGAGTGTGTGTGAGCGACAGCATCGCAGAGGAGTGTGTGTGAGCGACAGCATCGCAGAGGAGTGTGTGTGAGCGACAGCATCGCAGAGGAGTGTGTGTGAGCGACAGCATCGCAGAGGAGTGTGTGTGAGCGACAGCATCGCAGAGGAGTGTGTGTGAGCGACAGCATCGCAGAGGAGTGTGTGTGAGCGACAGCATCGCAGAGGAGTGTGTGTGAGCGACAGCATCGCAGAGGAGTGTGTGTGAGCGACAGCATCGCAGAGGAGTGTGTGTGAGCGACAGCATCGCAGAGGTGTGTGTGTGAGCGACAGCATCGCAGAGGTGTGTGTGTGAGCGACAGCATCGCAGAGGTGTGTGTGTGAGCGACAGCATCGCAGAGGAGTGTGTGTGAGCGACAGCATCGCAGAGGAGTGTGTGTGAGCGACAGCATCGCAGAGGTGTGTGTGTGAGCGACAGCATCGCAGAGGTGTGTGTGTGAGCGACAGCATCGCAGAGGTGTGTGTGTGAGCGACAGCATCGCAGAGGAGTGTGTGTGAGCGACAGCATCGCAGAGGAGTGTGTGTGAGCGACAGCATCGCAGAGGTGTGTGTGTGAGCGACAGCATCGCAGAGGTGTGTGTGTGAGCGACAGCATCGCAGAGGTGTGTGTGTGAGCGACAGCATCGCAGAGGTGTGTGTGTGAGCGACAGCATCGCAGAGGTGTGTGTGTGAGCGACAGCATCGCAGAGGAGTGTGTGTGAGCGACAGCATCGCAGAGGTGTGTGTGTGAGCGACAGCATCGCAGAGGTGTGTGTGTGAGCGACAGCATCGCAGAGGTGTGTGTGTGAGCGACAGCATCGCAGAGGAGTGTGTGTGAGCGACAGCATCGCAGAGGAGTGTGTGTGAGCGACAGCATCGCAGAGGTGTGTGTGTGAGCGACAGCATCGCAGAGGAGTGTGTGTGAGCGACAGCATCGCAGAGGAGTGTGTGTGAGCGACAGCATCGCAGAGGAGTGTGTGTGAGCGACAGCATCGCAGAGGAGTGTGTGTGAGCGACAGCATCGCAGCGGAGTGTGTGTGAGCGACAGCATCGCAGAGGAGTGTGTGTGAGCGACAGCATCGCAGAGGTGTGTGTGTGAGCGTCAGCATCGCAGAGGTGTGTGTGTGAGCGACAGCATCGCAGAGGAGTGTGTGTGAGCGACAGCATCGCAGAGGTGTGAGCGACAGCATCGCAGAGGAGTGTGTGTGAGCGACAGCATCGCAGAGGTGTGTGTGTGAGCGACAGCATCGCAGAGGAGTGTGTGTGAGCGACAGCATCGCAGAGGAGTGTGTGTGAGCGACAGCATCGCAGAGTTGTGTGTGTGAGCGACAGCATCGCAGAGGAGTGTGTGTGAGCGACAGCATCGCAGAGGAGTGTGTGTGAGCGACAGCATCGCAGAGGAGTGTGTGTGAGCGACAGCATCGCAGAGGAGTGTGTGTGAGCGACAGCATCGCAGAGGTGTGTGTGTGAGCGACAGCATCGCAGAGGTGTGTGTGTGAGCGACAGCATCGCAGAGGTGTGTGTGTGAGCGACAGCATCGCAGAGGTGTGTGTGTGAGCGACAGCATCGCAGAGGAGTGTGTGTGAGCGACAGCATCGCAGAGGAGTGTGTGTGAGCGACAGCATCGCAGAGGAGTGTGTGTGAGCGACAGCATCGCAGAGGAGTGTGTGTGAGCGACAGCATCGCAGAGGAGTGTGTGTGAGCGACAGCATCGCAGAGGAGTGTGTGTGAGCGACAGCATCGCAGAGGAGTGTGTGTGAGCGACAGCATCGCAGAGGAGTGTGTGTGAGCGACAGCATCGCAGAGGAGTGTGTGTGAGCGACAGCATCGCAGAGGAGTGTGTGTGAGCGACAGCATCGCAGAGGAGTGTGTGTGAGCGACAGCATCGCAGAGGAGTGTGTGTGAGCGACAGCATCGCAGAGGAGTGTGTGTGAGCGACAGCATCGCAGAGGAGTGTGTGTGAGCGACAGCATCGCAGAGGAGTGTGTGTGAGCGACAGCATCGCAGAGGAGTGTGTGTGAGCGACAGCATCGCAGCGGAGTGTGTGTGAGCGACAGCATCGCAGAGGAGTGTGTGTGAGCGACAGCATCGCAGAGGAGTGTGTGTGAGCGACAGCATCGCAGAGGTGTGTGTGTGAGCGTCAGCATCGCAGAGGTGTGTGTGTGAGCGACAGCATCGCAGAGGTGTGTGTGTGAGCGACAGCATCGCAGAGGAGTGTGTGTGAGCGACAGCATCGCAGAGGAGTGTGTGTGAGCGACAGCATCGCAGAGGAGTGTGTGTGAGCGACAGCATCGCAGAGGAGTGTGTGTGAGCGACAGCATCGCAGAGGTGTGAGCGACAGCATCGCAGAGGAGTGTGTGTGAGCGACAGCATCGCAGAGGTGTGTGTGTGAGCGACAGCATCGCAGAGGAGTGTGTGTGAGCGACAGCATCGCAGAGGAGTGTGTGTGAGCGACAGCATCGCAGAGGAGTGTGTGTGAGCGACAGCATCGCAGAGGAGTGTGTGTGAGCGACAGCATCGCAGAGTTGTGTGTGTGAGCGACAGCATCGCAGAGGAGTGTGTGTGAGCGACAGCATCGCAGAGGAGTGTGTGTGAGCGACAGCATCGCAGAGGAGTGTGTGTGAGCGACAGCATCGCAGAGGTGTGTGTGTGAGCGACAGCATCGCAGAGGTGTGTGTGTGAGCGACAGCATCGCAGAGGTGTGTGTGTGAGCGACAGCATCGCAGAGGTGTGTGTGTGAGCGACAGCATCGCAGAGGTGTGTGTGTGAGCGACAGCATCGCAGAGGAGTGTGTGTGAGCGACAGCATCGCAGAGGTGTGTGTGTGAGCGACAGCATCGCAGAGGTGTGTGTGTGAGCGACAGCATCGCAGAGGAGTGTGTGTGAGCGACAGCATCGCAGAGGAGTGTGTGTGAGCGACAGCATCGCAGAGGTGTGTGTGTGAGCGACAGCATCGCAGAGGAGTGTGTGTGAGCGACAGCATCGCAGAGGAGTGTGTGAGCGACAGCATCGCAGAGGAGTGTGTGTGAGCGACAGCATCGCAGAG